CCGCGGGATTGTCTTTTCGCGGTGTGGCCAAAAGGGACCGTCGAGAGTTCGATCGTTTCTATTTTTATCCGTAAGTGACAGATTTAAATGTGACATCGTAAGTGTGATCTGTACCGCGCCGTATTTCACTTTCGCCTTCCTTATCTCCGCTTATCATCTACAGAACGCTGACGGAAATTGCCGTCATTACGCCGATCCGATTCGTCGAATAAATCAGAAACTGTGCAGCGCACGGTGATTGAAAGGAAATATACAGGATGCCTCAAAATTCCCGCATGCGGAGTGTAGAGGGTGATTTTTGATGTGGAAAAATCTTTTTCCTCCGTCAGAATTGCGTTCGAGCACGATGGCATCCGAGAAGCTGGTGATTGAAAAATTGGGCTTCTCCGCGAGCTAAGCTTCGGGCGAGCAAACGGGAAGCGAAATTCTCTTCTTCGATCAATTTCAGGTGGACTTTACTTGAACACGCTGTTAGGGAAGTTCTTAAATGTAACAGCGTTCCTGCGATAGTAAATTTAAGGATTTCGTATTAAAATTTATAATCTTTCATAACTTTTATAATATCAGTGTTGTCAGTTATAAAATAGTTGTGATGTTTCGTATCTACTAAAATCAAAGAACAAGTAAGAAATTTAATATTTTTCCGTCTTGTATTACATAATTTGCTGCTTAGTTTTCGTATTCAATTATGACACGTTATGATATATTAGAGGTGTTCTAACATTTTAATAGTACACAGCATGATTGTTAATACATATGTGATACAGAAATTAAAAACGATATAAACTGTTAATTGTGAATATTAGCGAAATATATCGGGTACGATGTATTTCACTAAAGTTCACTCACTAAATCTCAATAAATATTCTAAATTATTATAGCTGCATTATGAAAAATGGATTCAGAATGTTTCTTTCATAACTATGCGTTAGTAAATGTAACGTCAATTTGGTTATTAATTTTCACAACTTGGTTATGTGAAAAAAAAACTTCACAACCAGATTATGAAGTTCTTCTAACAGTGCAGAATTTTAATCTAAGGTTTAGTCTCAAAGATGTACGTTGCAAATCGAAAACTCGCTACAAACAATGACCTTTCTCGACGTTTTCGGAACTGGTTGCAAAGAAAAATGAATGAAAAGCTCACTTCTTCTGGTACAAAGAATGTCTCCCTGTACACTCTGCGCGTGGGAAATTTGGTACATCCTGTACAACTGTAAAAATAGTTCCCGAAAATAGTCCTCGAAATGTCCCGCTTGTATTTAAAATTGGAGGGGGGGGGGGCGAAGATGGTTCGCGCACAGTCGATATATAAGAGAAATCGATAGATACTTCTTCGTTCCCTTTTTTTCTCTCACCAGTCCGTTTACGTTACGTATATATATCCTTCGTGCTGACGTTGCGGAAAAATCAAGTTTTAATGAAATTTGCTATGAAAATTCCGCGACCGGACGCGATTTGTCCGTAAATAGCGAAAACTCGCGCGCGACGGCAAATAGCAGGGAAATTCCATGACGTCGTCGGCTAATTGTAAGCATTCCCAAGTCACTAATTAGAAAACTAGGAACTGCGAACGTTATCTCGCTCGGGAGAGATAGCAAGCTTGGCTGGAATAACGCGGCTGGAAGAACTAGGGACCATATTGTTTGAATTATGATGTAAATAACTTGAAGCTAAGACATTACTGAGTCGGAGAAACGGAAACTTCCCGATGAATGTACTAATTCCGCCGCTATTTTATATACGCTACATTAGCGACACACACATTAATGCGCCTCGTGGAATATTCTAATGGTGGAATATCAAATGAGAATCTCGGCGCTGCATTCTCGCCTTCGCGGCTTCGATCCTCGGGCGAAACACAATTGTACGGTTGCCGTGTCGTAAAATTCCTCCCATCGAATGCGCGTGCAAACGTAACCGTTAACAAGTATCTCGCGGCGCGAATACGCTGATTCTTTCTTCGACTTCGTCGCGTCAGCGAAACCGCGTCGCCGGTGTTCGAGCAATTCATTACCTTCGGGCCCGCGTCGCGGATCAGTCGTTCTTTAACCAAAGTGTATTACGCGGCGACGCTGTGGGGAAACCGCGATATAGCGCAGTGAGTCGGGTTAAAAATCCCTCTCTTTCCATTAATTAAAAATTCCGCTCTAATTCCTCGGATATATTCAGCGAAAGGTTTCAGCCTACGTCAGCGTTCGGCATTCGTGCCGTTCGAGAGGAACAAACCGTTCCGTCGGCCGTCGTGAAATGATTACAAATTTCCGAGCGCTCGTGGGAGAGAAGAGGGAGGGTAGATTGAACAGATAGAGAAAGAGGAATATATGTTTGGGTGCGCGTATCTCTGAAAAAAATTCTGTGTTTTCAAGACTTACAGGGCATTCTAAGTAGATCGGGTGTTCGCGTATAGCTCGGCTACGAATGATTTTTGTCCGGAATATTCCGTCAATACTCGACAACAAAGACGCGGGCTACTTGTCTGTATATTTTATTCCGTCCCCCCCCCCCCC